TATGGGAAACGGTAAGATAAAGGGCTTTTCCTCCCTGGAGGGTTCCTCTGTCCCCTGATTAGAATTCTCAGCTCCTCAATCCCAGAGTGTGGTGTTCAATCACTTAGTGTTTGCCTTCATCCTGGAGGAAAGCATGGGTCATGTCACCCTTGTACTCTTCCCAAGGGCTCAGCCTGGTACATACCTAACAGAAAGAACTCAAGAAGCACCTTCATCAGCCAAGCATACCTTTTAGACTTTCTCTGTCATTTAAAAAATACAGCCCACAAGCAACAACTGCCCCTTTTTATACAGTAATGGAGTTTTAAAATATTTAAACTTGAAACATCCATGTGCACAATTTAAGTGCACTGGTCTTGCTATAGTAAAGCTTTTTAATACCATCTGTTTGAAGCATGCACAACTGCAAGACTCGTAAATTTGCTCTGTAAAAGGCCAAATAATAAATATTTTTGGTTTTGTGGGCCTTGTTTCTCTTCCATAACTCCTCAACACAGCCATTGTAAAGTGAAAGTGGCCACAGACAATACGGAAATGAACAGGCATCTGTTTATTCCCATCATTTTCACAAGAAAGATGTTTCTTAATAGCTTGACTTCGCATTAATAATTTGTTTTTTCTATTTTTCTCTCTTCAATCTATGCTCTCTCTGGAAGTTGAATCAATACTCAATCAAAGATCGAGATTATGCTCTGAGAGACAAATTCTCTTTTCAGAATATCCCTGCTTTAAGCACTCTGGGAAGGTACTCTGCCTTTCTCCACTTTAAAGCCTAAGCTTCTTTTAGGTTGGATGAAAATCACTTGCTCTTTGAAACTGCGGTCTCTGCTTTTCTAATCAACGGGGGCTTAGGCTGCCTTACAGAGCAAGCCCCATAAGAACACTGCCATGGGGAGCTGCTATTTGCTGAGAGTTTGACACATGAGCCCCTCAGACAAGCAATGTTTGGCTGCTTATGGTAGATTAAGAACGAGATCCTTTGTTTCCAAAAGAAATCAATGTTTGTTCTTAAGTTCAAAGAAAACCAACTGCTCTAAGGACAATTGAGGACGTGGACTCCATTCCAGCAGCCAATTATCTGCAAACACAGCAGAAACAAAACCCCCATCTACCTAGCACAGAGAATTCGTCTTGGGAGAGCACAGTCCAGAACTCCCCTGCCCAGTCACTCAAGTCCAGCCCATGAAATTGATGTTTTAAGGGAATAAAAGTGTTTGTATCGGAATGGGAGTCCACTTAGGTCACCCACTCTGAGAAACAGTCACATCAACTACTAGGCTTCCTATTAGCTGCTAAGAAATCCAGAAAACAGCCCTGGTGGTTTTTCTAAGTGGATATGGCATTGCCTTCAAGCCAATCACTAGCCTGTCATTTAAAAAAAGGAGAAATAAGTGAAAATACCACGATCAAAGCCTAGAGGCTGGGTAGAATTTTGTGTCTGCCAAGTAGCAAAAATGTGCAACATTTTAAGTAGCGTCTTAAGCAAAGGATATAATTGCCTCTGCCAAAAAGCTTGTGTAGCACAGATCAGATGTCAGCCACGCATCTGACAAGGCAGCTGAGAGCCAGCCATGTCAGAAAATTATTCCTGGTGGTTGGAAGGGAGGATGTGCATCTAAAATCAACATTTTTTGAGATACCCAGCTTCTAATCTCTGAGGTCCAGCAGTTTGACAGCTTGAGGTATTTATTCACATGACAGCTATTTCATTCCCAAGTTCAAATGCAACAGTAGATAGTAAATTATGCTACAGTTCCCCACCAACCATTCCAAAAGCCAGCATTAAGGTTTTCCTTAGGAGTTTCACTTCTTAGATGCTTTTAATTTCTGAAGCCCCTTAAGATTCATCACCAAGTCTTCGGGAGGACAGAAAGTAACAGGAGCGAGAAAGGAGGAATGCAGGATAGAAGGAAGAGAAGAAAAGGGGAAGACAAGAAAGAAAGAAAAAAACTAACAGAACTTGAGTGACCCTACCAGGAGACAGATGGAGAGCAGATGGGAGGTGATCCCAGGTGAATACTATTCCAGGTACCTCTAAACAATGTCAGCATGGGACTCCCTGGAAACAAGGAGACAATAACTCAATACAGCAGGAATTCCTCCAGCTGGTACCTATAACTCCTCCAAAACAGGTGCTCACTTAAAATGGGACTTCATAGAGACAAAAACATATTTAGGGAGGAAGCAACTCTAAATGGGTGTTCTGCCTTAAGTCACAGGAACGGCTGGATCCTACACAAACCCTGAGCCTTTCTTTTATAAGGACACCTGCCACTGGGCTTAGGACTCACCCTAAATCCAGGGTGATCTCATCTCAAGATCTGAACTTAATTGCATCTGCCAAGATCCTTTTTCTCTTCCTTTTTCTTTTTTGGCATGTAAAACAGTGTTCATTCTTTCAAATAAAAATATACATAGCGAAAGGATTACAACAGTCAAACAAGTTACCATATCCATCTATCTCATCACATGGTTACATTTTTGTTTTTATTTTTTGTGATTACAGCACTTGAAATCTACTCTCTTAACCAATTTCCAGTATACATTTCATCATTAAATATCTCAAAACATGTAACATTTTATAACTAAACATTTCAAAACATGTAACTTACATATACTCATTTATGGGAAACTATAAGATAAAGGGCTTTTCCTTTATCTTATATCAACCAAGACCCCTTTTCCAAATAAGGTCACACTTACATGTTCCAGGGGCTAGGACTTAAATATATCTTTTTGAGGGCAACTACTCAACCCACCACAGTTTCCAAACAACTAGAGAAGAAAATTAGTTATTTACTTAAATAAACATGAACTATAAATGCTTTGTTGTATTTTATCATTGAAAGTCCCAAGGCAGCAGGAATTCCTCCAGCTGGTACCCACAGCTATTCCTGTCAGAGCTGGTGTCCTCAGACAAGTTACTAAGCCTGCCTGATCCTCAGTGCCCTTATGTGTAAAACTGGGACAAGCCCCCACCTGGTGGGCTGTTGTGCAAGGTGACTCATTTGCACAACATTTAGGGTCGTTTAGAGTGTCTGCCCCCAGCTAATGTCTTGTTGACAGGCCCTAGTCTTCAACGGCTCCAAGCAATGTGTCCAACAGCCACTCTCAGGAAAGAGCGTTCAGTTATTTCTTGATTCAGCCATTGTTAGGATGTGTCTCAGGTATTTAGGTAAAAAAAGGAAAAAAAAAAGACTAAAATAGCAGGCTTGCCAAAGGTAAATAATAATCAGACTTGTGGCAGAATTAAGGACTTGGCATCATGAGAATAGCCTGTCCTATTCAAGATGGTCACCTGTGACTATAGTTCTCCAATTATCCCAAGAATCATCAACATAAATATATCATCTGTCGCTACCTGGGCACTCCCCAGGACACGAGCCGCATCTTATTTATCTTTGCATCCCCAATGCCTGGCACAGGACCTGGCACCTGAGTCATATAATTTGAATTGATGGGATGAATGATGACTCAAGCCAGGATGCTCAGGAAACCTCAGCTCTGATCATAAGAATGTCAATAACTACTGTTTATTGAAAGTCACAATACTAAGGGCCTTACACATACTGAACGGATTAAATAAGATAATTTCTGTAATCATTTTGGCATAGCTGCTGCTCCGGAAACGTGAGTGATCATCACCACTTATTTTAATCCTCATTCCGACCCATAATGGAGACATTCTTTTTATTATTATTATTTCATTGCATTGCATTTTAGGTTTTGGGGTACATGTGAAGAACATGCAAGATTGTTGCACAGGTACACACGTGGCAGTGTGATTTGCTGCCTTCCTCCCCATCACCCATATCTGGCATTTCTCCCCATCCTCTCTCTCCCCAACTCCCCACTCCCCGCTGTCCCTCCCCTACTTCCCCTCAACAGACCCCAGTGTGTAGTGCTCCCCTCCCTGTGTCCATGTGTTCTCATTGTTCAACAGCCACCTATGAATGAGAACATGTGGTGTTTGATTTTCTGCTCTTGTGTCAGTTTGCTGAAAATGATGGTTTCCAGGTTCATCCATGTCCCTACAAAGGACACGAACTCATCGTTTTTTATGGCTGCATAATATTCCATGGTGTATATGTGCCACATTTTCCCTGTCCAGTCTATTATCGCTGAGCATTTGGGTTGGTTCCAGGTCTTTGCTATTGTAAACAGTGCTGCAATGAACATTCGTGTGCATGTGTCCTTATAGTAGAACGATTTATAATCCTTATATACCCAGTAATGAGAGATCTGGGTCAAAGGGAATTTCTATTTCTAGGTTCTTGAGGAATCGCCACACTGTCTTCCACAATGGTTGAACTAATTTACACTCCTACCAACAGTGTAAAAGTGTTACTATTTCTAATGGAGACATTCTTACTCCCATGTTACACAGCAAGAACTGAGGCACAGGGAGGTGAAGTCCCAGAGCAAATACCTGGCAGAGCCAGGATTTGTTAGACTTCATGGACCTGTTTCCTTTTCCGCTACATTGCCCTTCTCCCAATTCACAGTATTCAGTCTTTGTTTTAAGGAGCTCACACATCTATAGTCAGACTAGATACTGGGGGTGTGGAGTGATGCATATGTATATTTATATGTATGTATATATGTATACATATGTGCTATATATTTATGTACACATGCATGCAACACCTCATTTGAAGAAATAAACTAGAGAGAACAATGAATGGAACAATGGAGGGTCCCAGGGAGCATGGAGGATTCCCTTGTCCTGAATCGTACTGTCAAGGGGTAAAGCATCACATATTACGTTCTCCCAAGCTCATGAAAGCAACACATACAATGTTTTATAACTCCAGATCCTCATCCTAGGCCTATTACTTCCTGTTGAATAATCTTGCTTCTAAGCCAAATGCTGTACAGTGAAGAAAAATGAACTGTGCTTAACATTCACATACCAGTGCTTTTCTCTCCACCTAAATTCCCAAAGAAAGTGACCAGGAAACATGACTGGGGCATTAAGAGCATCCCAGCCATGAACTTACAGGAGGAATGGATGCTGGGGAAGCTTTTGCGGCCCTCGGACACCAGATCGGGGTCACCTGTGCAGTGCATTTCTGAGTTCATCACTCCATCTGGAAAGCAGCGGTAAAAGAAATCGGGGCGAGGTCTACAAAAGACACCATGGACATTTTCAATATAAAATGCTGCCATCACACATGACCCCAAGCTGACCCCCCCCCCAACTCCCCACTGCTCCCAGCTCCTTCCTCAGCCCCCTTGGCCGTCAACACTGGAGCTTTCCACGGAACACTCTAGACACAGCCGTTGGGGGAAAAGCTCAGGCTTTGGTGTCAGAAAAATCTGAGTTGGCACTCGCGCTTACCACTTACTCACTTTATGACCTTGGGAAGGCCACTTGGTCTCCCCCAGCTTCAGTTTCCACATCTGTAGAAGGGGAAATCAATACCAACCCAAAGGTGAGGTCCTGAGGATAAAGTGACATGACTTACAGGAGGCACCTCAGCAGGGTCCTCTGGCCCAGGTTCCTTGTTTGACAAGTGCGGAAGGGAAGGCTTTGTGCCACCCATGGACTAAAAGTCACTAAAAGTTGCTTCCTGTCTTGATCTATCATGCCACTATTTCAGAGGCTGCCTCTGGGATCCAAGACTCTGGGCTCCTTGTGTCCCTGTGTCCTGAATGTGGGCGGCCACTGCCCTTCCTGAAACAGCAGGTCTCACCTCGCCTCACTGAGTGACCTTGAAAGCTCAGTTCCATGATGCAGAGGACACAGTGCCCCAGGTTGGCCCCTCTGGTCTAGAGCATGGGAAAGAGACCCCCAGAGGGACATCGAGGTGGCCCTGAGCCTGAAGTCAAGCCTCCTGCAGCAATCACAGCTGCAGTAAGTTCTGAATACACTGGGCTTCTGACACGGTCTTAAGCTCCACACACCCGTTGTACCATATAATCCTCAGGAGAACCCTGAGGCAGAGCCTGGGGCTGTCTGTATTTTACACGTGCAAAAATGAAGACTCTTCATTGCTCAAGGTCACACACAACCAGTAAGGGGCAAAGATGAGCTCTGAACACCAGCGAATGGAAGTTCGTGCCAACACGCTTCACCCCACGCTTTCTGCCTCGCTTGGCTGAGGATCCTCACACAGGTGGGTGATGGCCTATCACCTCACATTCATACTCAACTAATATTCACCGAGCACCTACCATGGGTGAAGCTTTGCTAATGCTGGAAACACAGCGCCTGCTTTCTGGGCACTCCAGGTCACAGTTCACATACATTGATCACTGGTCCTTCAACTCTGTGGCTCAGGTAGGGCCTATGCCATCTACCAGAACAGCTGGGGTACTATCTCTCTGGCACTCAGCCAGTGTTTCTTCAAGTATGGATGTCCACTTAATGCACCAGAACCTCAGAGGGGCGAGGCCGGACAGTGAGCACTGGTCAGGGCACTGCGGTAGCTCTAAGCACACAAACTTAAGGGAACACAGCAGAAACAGGCCATGCACTGCCTGGTCTTTATCTATCTCCTGCCCCTTCAATGTCTGGCCTACACCCAGCAGATAAAATAAATACTAGGGTTCTGAGAGGGGATCTAATGTGTCCCAGGCCAGCAGACAGTGAGAGTCAGTTAGGTCTTGAATTCAGATGTTTTGACTGCTAATGTTTGCCGATACCAGCTCTTCCCCACAGCAGTCAGAGGGGAAGGAAAGATAAATACAAAACAGAAATCATTTTGCAGGGGCCGTAAGAGAAATGTGCTGTAAGCCAAGGCTCAGATGCCAATCCATATGTTTCATCCTGAAGAGAACGATAAATAAGTAATTATATTTATTTATTAGAGGCCAAAACTGACAAGTTTGTGTGTGTCAGAGTGAGGCCCCGGGATTGCTGTGGAAGTAGCTGAAAATGCCAGCAGTGAGCTTTGTCCCACAAGAAAGTATGGTCAGTGGATATTTCCTTGCTATTGATCTCCTGCTTTCTAAAACAGTGGGTTTGTAATTCAGAGGGAAAGATCTGTGCTAAGGATGGAAAGCTCAGAAGGACAATGATTTAAGGGAGAAATAGACGAGCTCAAATCTGTCCCATCAGTGTCCTCTGGCCCAGCTTCCTATATAGATGACCTTGATAGTCTAAGTCATCATTTCATTATTCTTGGAACTTACCTTCCCACTATTAATTTAATAGTGTTTGTGCAGACTCCATTCAAAGCAAGAGCCAAGGACACCGCTACAAAACAAAACCAACAGACAGAAAAGTAACAAGCTGGCTCTTAGATCAAAGTCATCATTATTATCATCATCATCATCATCATTGTTACATTATAATACTATTCAGCAACCATAGAAATATGAACGAATACTTTAAAAACAGATACATTGGGGTTGCTAGAGGACTTCAGAGAGTGGCTCATAAAATTCCAAGCCCCATGACATGAAATGTGTCTCTCCTCCTTGACTGAAATTTTCACCATCACAGAGGAGCTCATCTATCATTTTCTGGCCTGATATGAACAGATTTAACACCACAGTATGTAGAATTTCTTTTACTGGTAGCAAGAAACATAACTTTCTTATTTCCTCTTGGCAACCTTCTCAGACATAATTCTAATCAGAGCAGCTGCTGGAATCCTATTGCAGAAAAGGACGTTTCCATTTGGCAATTATCTCATTATTGACCCATCACTGGCTGACAGCTGTCCATTTGTTATCAAGCAAATCACTGTTCCTGCAAAGGTGCCGAGTCCAAAGTCCTCACTGGGTTTGGAGAAGTCTGCCCAGGCAGTGCTTTTTGCCATCTAAAAGAGCAAGAACTTCTAAGAGACATTATTTGACCATACAGAGCACAGGGACTTTCTCCAAGCCATTTGGGAAGACTTTGCCGGATGCAGCACAGATTGTCCCAAAGGGTGCAGGCAACATGAGTCACAGAGCTTTCCCTGCAAAGATCTTGCACCTCTCTTCTATGGTTTATTGAGAGTGCACAAAAGGCAGAGTCATCACCATCAATGTGATAGAAGGTCAAATGCCTCGCAGAAGCAATAAAAACCTATTGATGCCCCATTCCACTGCTTTGTTGAATAATAAAGCATGTGCACTACCGTTTCCCTTTGGTAAATATTAACTGTTCAATACTGGCTGAGATTTATATAAGAATATAGCAGTGAATTGGGGCATTCTTGGGAAGGAGCTGCCTAGAGCAATTCACAGCCCATCAAGAGAGACAAATATGTATTGTTCTACAACCAGAAAGTACTGTGGAATGGCCAACATGGTCACTAAGAGCATGAGCCACAGAGATGGGAACACAACCCACTTGCTTTTAACAAGCCATCTGAAGCAGAGAGGATGGGAGGGACACATTCAAATGAACATATTCGTCAAAGGGAAACAAATCACCTAAGTGTGAGATGGGGGCAACTGGCCATATCTGAGTGTGGCAGAAAGGAGGGACAGGCCACAGATTCAGAAAGCAGAGCGTGAATCAGCAGCACAGCACTGCCATTAAAACACTGAGTATGCAATAGGAGTGCAGAAATTGGAACTAAATATGAAGGAACTTGGAAAGATCCACTGATTGCATTCTGAACACACAGACCCTTCCTTCCTCAAATGCCAGCTTCCCTTCTCTCTGGCAAGCTCAGAGCACTGCGGAGAGGCCTCTCTCCAAGACTGGAGAGAAAATTCCCTGGGATATTTTGCCATATTCTCTCCACAAACCCTGACAATTAACAGGTTGTGATTTTACTGTGAAATTACTATGGTCTTTTCTCTGTTAGGTCCGGCCTGGCAGGCTCACTGCTGTGTTTTCCCAGTGGGGCTGGACTCATACTCACCCCAGTCCTAGCATGGCCTCTCTGGGAACAAACATCCCTAGCTGATTCCCTATCGCCCCACATAGATCTTGGTGAACTTCATAAACAGCCACATGGATCATTTCCCCAGCCTCTGAGCCTGGTGGGCTTATCGCAGCACAGAGCAGTTCTTTAAAAAGTCTGAAATAGCTGAGCTAGAAAATGCAGAGATGTGATATAACCACCAAAAGTTGGCAACTTTCCTGTCTGATCCAAACACCTGAAGGAAACAGAAAGGTGGGAAGCTGGTGATGATATTTAACATGGAGGTCATTTCAGTATTCTAGAAGGAACCCTAACTGCTTAATATTAGCACAACCCTCCAGGGATCAATGCAGGAGCCCCTCACTGATACCAGAGAGAAGGCTGTGCTGAGATCAGATCCACGAAAGGCTGGACAAACAGGAAAATAAATGGCCCCCATCAGGAAGGCTTGTTCATTAACAATAACCCAGTGGGCCTGGTTCATAAGCGCTGTTCTGTTTTTATAGCATCCCACAGCACTGTGGGTTTGAGTGAAGAGTCAAAAAGACAAACCACACTGTGTCTGATAAAAAATTCAAAGAAACATGTCCTGTGAGTTGGCTTGTAAGCAGCCTGTACTAAGGACACTACAGGTTATAAGCGTTCCAGGGTACTAGAGTGCTTTTGTCGTTACTTTTATTGTTGTAGGAAATTCAGCACTATCATGCTTTTATAACAGAGTTCTCTATTACACAGTTCTGCAGCCTGAATTCCTAAAAGCACGGTGCTGCATGGGGCAAACCTCACTCCCGTCATCCAACGCCAGATGCACAGACATGGCCACATTTACCTGGAGATGAGGGCAGCACTTGGGATCCAGGTTTGGAAGCCTCAGTTAAAGTCTGCTGAAGACATCTGAGTAAAGAAGGGACCTGAGAACTAAACTTCCTGGTTGAGAGTCCTGAATTCCAGACAACACTGGAAAATCTACAACTAGGTTTCTGTCCTTGGCTTTTAAAGATCACCCTCCCCATCCCCTACTTTCAAGGCTTCCTAAAAGTAGTGATTTAAAAAAACCTCTGCACACAATGGGAAGCTGTTCATCGTTTTTATAGGGGAGGCTCTCATTTATTTAGGCAAACAGAACATCCAGTCATTCCATCATCTCTGTTAACATATAGGAGACAGAGTATGACGCTGGATTTGGAAATGTCACCCTAAGGGAGATTTAGCTGAGAATGAAAAGTCTGGAGAAGGTAACTGTGAGCTACTTACTGCTGTAACAGCAGCCCCACTCCAAAAGCCAGCCGTCAGTGAGAACCATAACCATGAAAGATAGTTCTTACCCACAGTCACTTATCTTGAGACTCCATGCCAGGGGAGCCACTAGAATAAAGCGTGAACTAAAGGGATTTCCAGCTGAACTGAGAGGGCTCCTAACAGCACTTTTTGGAGACCATAGTGATATCCATCCCAACACTGCCCAGCCACTCAAGCCATGTGTGGAGCGACACCTACCTGTGCCCTCCTTGGAGAACCTGACCCTTTTCTCACCTCAGGTGAGGAGACCAAATCCTGTGACCAAAAGCCCAAGCCACACAGGGCAGCCTGCAGTACACACCTGACCTGAGTGAGGGCATCAACAGGCTGGCCAGGGACTCACAGCTTTTGCGGTCAGGCTGGAGGAATGAGCTCAGCCAGAGGCTCTGCCTAGAAAGTCTGGACCAAGAAACACAGTGAAGCTTGGTGGTGGGCAACAGGCAGACAGATTTGGGGCAGAAGCCACCATCACTGCAGGCCCAAGCCTCGGACAAACCAGAGACATGGGGCAGCAGAAATAAAGTTGAGGCAGAGGATTCAGGCCAGGAGTGTCAGCAGAAGAAGGAAGGCACGTTGCAGTGGTCATGAGCCAAGAAGAGGGCTCCCCTCCTGACGGCCCAGCTCCCCATTCCAGTCTCCATGAGGTGCCTCTGAACTTTTTTCCCTTCTTCTTGGATGTCTGTGAGATTGCTTATCAGAGCCCTGTACTTAACCCCTAATTTTTTTGAGCTAATTTGAGAGGGATTCTGTTCTTTCAACTAGACAGGGCCTAACAGAAGGCTGGTTATAAAGGAAGCATTCTCCGTGAGGCTTTAGGGGAGAAGCTGCTTGTTGTCCCACACCCCCTACATGCAGCTCTCACTCTCACTTCCTTACCAAGAAAAAGAGAGGACTATATTTTGCTACATTTTCATTTCCCCAAAGCACAGTAATTAACAAACACACCCTTAAGTGAAGGCTCTCATTTTCCAGACTTACAAACTCATTGAATGGTAAGTCCATGTAACACACCTGAAACAAAATTTGGGCTGAGGATTTGGGTAACTTTTAGGTGATGTGTCAAAAACAAACAAAAAAAAATCAACCTGATTTGGTTTTGCTCATGGTCAAAAAGCTAAAAACCTGGCTACAGGATAGTTTATTTTGTTTGCTAAACAAGCCAAGTAGTTTTGGCCATCTCTTAATGCTGTCATTTACTCCAGATTTGATTAACATGAAGACCAGGAAAACATATTTAATCCTAAAATGTCAAACTTTTGTCCCATGCAGACATGGCTCAGCTTGGGAAGAAGTTATAACAAGGATGTTATAATCAATGACAAAGATCATAGCACTTTTCACATAATAATGAGCACTTAACTACCAAAATGTCCTCAAACTAAAGATGAGTCATGGAGCTTGTTTGTAATATCTATTTTATTTTACACCCTCATTTTCCCATTTTTGCCTCTAGCCCACAGTGTTTGGTCAAGGAGTCTGTGGTTGATTTCTGAATTGCCCATAATGTGGGTCTATTAGCCAAAACTGTGAGACTGGACAGTTGGTGGTAACAAAGTTTCAGATTTACTTTGCCTTACTGCCAAGAGCTACCCAGAGTCTGCGCCTGAGCAGCACAGCTCTCTGGTGTGTACGGGGTGTTATTAGCATTCAGCACAACGGCCAGCGACAGCAGGCGGCCTCTGAACATCCTTTATTTCGGACTGCACATTGGCTCTTCTTTGGGTTTAAAGTTTATCTTCGTGTTATCTCGTTTCTCTCCAGCTTAATTTGATCAAAAGAAAAAACCAGTTGTGTGTAACTGAGATTTCTTAAATGTAATAATCTAATTAAGGTCAGCCCCATTCCCTAAAGCAGGAACTGTGAATACTCTACCTAAGAAGGCTTCCTTAATTTCAGTCTTGTCTGTTCGCCGGATAATTTTCACCACACAAATAACAGCCAGGGGTGTGAGGAAAGAAATTGCCTGGAAGAAATAACAAATAATCCCTTATGAGGACATCAGTTTGCTGTCAGAAGGGCTGACTGATCATTAGTTCCCGTTAGCTTCATTTAGACTCCCTGGTTGAATAATCTTACTGAACTCCTGACCTCAGACAAACAAAAAAAAGGATGATGTATGTCTGTACTTAGAGACTACACAGACTTTAAAAATGGAAGATCTGATTGTAGGTTATAATTGATTTGTAATTGCCAAGAGCCATGTTTAAAGCGGTGGCTTTTTAAATGGAAAAGAATAGTCTATAATTATGATGAATCATGTTTGCCAGTAATTCCCCTCATGCTCTCCTCTGTGGAAGGATGAAGAACCCTTGGCCTCCCACTCCCATCTCCCTGGAAACATGAGTGCATGTGGGACTCACTTAGAGTCAATCAATTCATTCCCTTCTGGTGTTCCTTTGTTGAATATTTATCTCTTCTGCAAAGCAGAGGTTAGTCCTTTTGCATAAAGTCTCTCCTCTTCCCTTCCTCCATCCCCTTTCCTCTGCACAGATGCTCAACTGAGACTTAATGAGTTAAATTTGTGGGATTCAGATGCCACCAACATTCATTACAAAAGCTACTGTGAGGAGGAACCATGCTAGGCACCATCAAGTCCAGGAGCCTCTTACATCCTCATGATAGCTCTGTGACTGCCTCCTCCAGGCTCAAGGACTAGGTGATACGCCTGGGAACACACAGTTGGAGACGGGCCAGGCCAGGATTTGGGGACAAGGCTTCGCTTCCCATATACTTTATTCCAGCTTTCCTTAATTAGTAAATTATTTTCAAGCATTCCACCAACCATATAAAAGGTATTTATGTTACTCCCTTACAACTATAACATCTCAAGATAACAATATCAGAAGAGACTGAACATCTCACAAATCCAGAATTGGCCTAGCAGTCAGTGGTGGTAGGGCTGGGGCATAACTGTTGATCTATTGATCTGTAAATCTCCCTCTCTGCCCTAGTAAGACATCACTTTTTGGAGAGTGGCTTCCTTATGGGAGTAAGCCATGGCTGGAAGATGCTCTTCTTTTATAAAAACAGAATCCACCCAAATGAATGCAGGCTTTTAAAATTATTTGAGATGCTCTACACTTTTACTACAACCAGACTGCTAGAGCTCAAATCATCTTGGAGAATCCTCTTTGGGAACTGTCTTCAGAGATCAATTGTATGAGACATGAAAAAAATTATCTCCTTACTTCCCACCATTTCTTTCTGACCGGAAGTGGTGGTAACCAGTTTGATGATTCAGCTGTGGCCCTGAATGATTTGGACTCTTTAAAAGTCAAATAAGCAAGTCTTGGCACCGTGGAGGGTATTAAGGTGCTAAAAGGCAGATGCATGAGAGGAGATTCAGAACTGCTGTGGAGAAAGCAGAGGATTCCCCTGTGGCCTATTCAGAAGGGCAACACTCACAAGTTAAGAGGTCCAGTAGGTCTGCGAAAGCTGCCATAAGTTATTGGGCAGTTTTCACACCTAAATAACTACAGGGCTTGTTAAAGTGCTGATTTCCTCAAATGCGCTCATATAGCAGGTCTGGAAATGCACCTTTTTAACATCATCTCAAATGTTACTGATGCTGATGATTGAGAATTATGCCTTAGACTTCTGACTCACACATTTAGTGCTTAAAGAGCAATAACTGAAGCATCACTTGTGAAGTCCAATGTTATGGTCAAGGCCAAAGAAGTCCTTGTTTCTCCAGATCCAAATATGAAGCCTACCAGCTTCCCTTCCTGTTTTCTGTCCCTTTATGCACTGCATACAGAGCAGGCAATGTGCTCTCAAATAGGAGAAAGCAAGTCACCAAACAGTGGATGACCCAGCAATGACTCCACCAAGTCAACCTTTACATAGGAGAACTACATGGTTCTGAAGGAAACATTTAAACACAATCCCAGCTGATACAATCTAAGGTTAGGCAGAAATGAAACGACCCCCCCCTCAAAAAAAATATGAGTTGGGATGACTTTCCCAATGAGGCTTCCAAAGGAGATTCCAGAGCAGAAAGTCACTGCCCACAAAGGAGATGTGGGTGCCAGGTGGGAGGCCCTCGGGATCAAGGCCAGGTGTGCGGGCTGAAATCATTAGAGCTGCCCAATGACTCCAGGCTAGTGGCTGGATGGCCCAGCAGTCTCCTTCAGAACTGCTCCCTGCCTCTACTTGCCTCTTCCTCATAGGATTCTCACCCTCACTTCCCCAACAAGACTGGACTTAATTTAACTCATGTTACAGCTTTCCCACGTAGATGCATATGGATATCTTTTCTAGGACCACTATCAACTGCTCTTAAGCCAATGCTAAGCACCCAGGAAGGCTCAAGGCTCCCCACCTCAAGGGCTTCTCAGGTGAGGGAATGCAGCCTTCAAAGTGCCGTGGCTCCTACCCCAGTGTGACTGGAGCAGTGATGTCTGTGTGATTGCATGATGTGGCTTGTTTCCCCTCTCATCCTAACAGCAATGGTCCACAGGCTCATTTCTTCTTCTTGGAAGTGTATCTGCCATATCCTTGGGCAGCACAGACCATGAATCAGGATGGATAGAGACATAGCTACATGTATCATTCACCCCCTCATGTACAAACATTGTTTAACTGAAATTTAGAATTAAGAGATGAACTCCAGAAGCCAATACATTAGGAAAACAACTTCCTCTTGGGGCAAAACACCTCTGAACTGGGTAGAAGGAAGAATGAAGAGAGAATAAGAACCCCATCACCCTACTTTCACTCAGCAAAGCAGACTGAATCAAAGCCAGTGCACATGCATTCCACTCTTCAGACAAAGGCTATTGGTAGCTGTGATTCTGCTGCCCGGGCCAGTGGAGCAGGTGAAGGTGAACAGAGGGACGTGAGGTGGGAATGGCCCCTGGTACCTCCACACAGGGGCAGAGATGGAAGAAAAACATGGGCAAGCAAAACCCCCCTTGGTATTGTTTCTCTTCTGTTAATGTTTCCATGGCTAATCTTAAAAGAATCAAATCCTAGGAAACCCTAGGATGAGCCCAGAGTAGGAAGATGGTGGAGTGGTCAGTGCTTATTTTATTCAATGGGACCTGAGAGAAAACAGAATTCCAGCCAAACACTGCTACAGAATTCAGAAAACATACTGAACCCTTCTTGAACTTGAGTTTTGCTCACTTGCTAAGTGTATGGGGCTGCTGAATGTACTTACCTAGGTTAGAATAACAAAGGCTAACATATACTGAGAACTTACTAAGGACCATGGTCTATTCTAGGCACCCCATGAAAATTAACTCATTCAATTCTCACAGCAATCCTAGGTGGAAAAGGCTTCTTACTTAATACATAGGAAACTAAAGCACAGAGAGTTTCAGCAACCTGCTGGAAGGCACATAACTAATCACAACTAGTCAGTCACACAACTAAAAACATCTCCATTGTACCAATAACCAAACTAAAATTCAGAGAGATCAGTGGACACTGATGAGTGGCCACTGGAAGCCACAGCACTTTGAAGTCTGCATTCCCGCACCTGAGAAGCCCTTGAGAGGTGGGGAGCCTTGGCCCTCCTGGGTGCTTGGCATCTATATTAAGCTCTGTACTTTCAACCACAATGTTAGTGCAGACTGGACTTAATTTAACTCATGTTACAACTTTCCCAGGTAGATGCATATGGGTATCTTTTCTAGGACCACTATCAACTGCTTTTGAGCCAATGCTAAGTACCCAGGAGGGCCCAAGGCTCCTCACCTCAAGGGCTTCTCAGGCAAGGGAATGCAGCCTTCAAAGTGCCATGGCACTAGAAAGTAAACATTAAATAAAACATAGTACATGCTTTTTTTTTTTTATCAAGTTAAAAAAGAAAGGTAAGGCTTGCTTCCAGGACGTAGATAAGCCATGGAAATTTTAGTGATAGCTGTCATGGTTTAAGCACCTACTATGTGTTAAGGACTTTCCTCACACTTTCCAATCTTCTAACTGCTCTGTTGTGGAAAATGTTATCTCCATTATACAAATAACCAGACAAAAACTCAGAGAGATCAGTGGAAACACAAATGCATACAGCTAGTGGGACCAAGACTCCCCAGATTGGGCTGCCATGCTCTTGGGTTGAAGTCCTGAATCTGGGTGATTCCCTTAGCCCACAAGCTTTATTTTACAGGTAGGGAAACTGAGGCTAGAAGAGATTTTTTTTTATACATTGAACACCATCTTTAAAGTTACCAACTGTGCTGCACAGTGTCCACATAAAGAGAAAGTGCATGTATCATTAAACTAGATCTGATACGTGGCTAGTTTTGTATGTAGCTTATTCCACAGGCTGGGAAGCCAAGCTCTGTGCAAATATATATATATATATATGGACTCAGATTAAGAAGAGGTGGGTTCAAGCCCCAGCTCTGAGACTTATCCATTCTTTGTCCTTGAGCAAGTCACTTAACCACCTTGATTCTCAGTTTCCTTATGTATAAAATGGATATGATGATAATAATAATATCCATGGCAAGTATTATTGGCAGTATTTCAATTCACTAACAGTTATGGAATCCTGATTAGGTACCATGCACTAAGTGAAATGCCATAGGTCCGTCACCCCCATATGATGCTCTCTACAGCTTGATGAGGCATGCACTTAAAGACACCTTTTACAGATAAAGAAAGTAAGGGGCTGAGAGGGGAGCTGATCTTCCAAAATCCCATAGCTACTGAGTGGCAAAGCTGGGAGTTGATCCCTGGTAGACCACTGTGGAGCCCATACCAACTGCCCACCAGCAGGGTCCAACAAAGAGCAAGTGTCCAGTAAATGCTGGTTGTTGACTAGTATTTCATTATTTTCTGGAAAAGACTGTTTAAAGGGTATCAGGGTCTTGTCACGAGACATATCAGATTAAAGCATTTTTAGTTTAAGCCCACCTGCACCCTTAGATCTGAGTACTGTGCACCTTTGAGTAGAGGAAGGAGGTTGGGGAAAGAAAAGGGAGCCTAATTCTCTCAGGTACCCTTACCATACCCTAAATGACCAACTAGGGTATGGAGCATCCACCCGTGAATCAATACAGGAAAGGCCACCAATCCCCGGCCAGTGCTGCACCCAGAAAGTGGGTCATCCCCACATGCTGATGCAAGGCACCGTGGACCATACTGCCCGGGGCGCTTCTGGGAAGCCAAAATGTGGGGTAGTGTATTTGAGCCAGGAGGGCATAAGGATGCCAAGGACTTCTAACAACCAGAAGGGATCGAAGCCAGAGCAGCCCCGATGTGAGGGTGTTAGCCAGAGAGGAGTTTGTCACTAAGGTTCATTCACATCAGACAAAACAATGGGCCCAAAGTACCTTCATTTCTAGCTTTTGACAGAAAGGTGTGCTGCGAACTGATTATAATGACAACTTTAGGACAGCAGACACCTGGAAAAGGCCCTGCTGTGGGTAAACAATTACATCCTGTCACAGATAAAAGAGCTGTCTAAGACTTAAAAAGAGCCTAAAAATTAAACTGTCTATGATGATCCAGCCTTGTCTCTCTTCCTTCCTTATTCCTCCCCAAAATGACTTTATTTCTGTCCCATCCCAGAATAAAAAACCCTGGTATCAAATCAACGCAGTATCTATCAGTAATATTCCATGAGAATAAATCTTCTGGACATATGACGACCAAAGCAAAAAGAGAAGAGGGCAAAGAACAGGCTGTGGGTGGATTTCTTTTGGAAGCCAAGGAAAAAATAATCGCAAAACCTATCAATCCTTAAACTCCTTACTGGGTCTTGCCTGTTTCTCAAGGCTTTTTAGTGATGCTGAACTGTCCACCTTGTGTTCGTGTCTGGGCCCCTCCCTAGACTAGAAACCATATCTTATTCAACTTTGCTCACAGCAGGTGTTTCATAATCACCCACTGAATTAGGTCATAATTAACCAATCCAAAGCTGCCCTCAGTCTGGTTCTATCCCTGCCCCCTTCTTAGCCCTTACCCATAGATACTCCAAACAAACTGCTATTCACAGGACCCACATAGCCTGTATTCTCTTTCTCTGTCTTTACGTGCCTTTCCACTTCACCAGTCACCAAGGAGGCATCATAGCAGAGTGGCTCCAAGAGAGAGTTTGCACTCACAGCCAGCGCTCTAGTGCTGCTCCAGCCACTGATGGTTGTCTATCTCAAACAAGTTGCGTAATTTCCCTAGTTTTGTTTTCTTCACTCACCTTATGAGATTGACAAAAGTGCTGACCTCAAAGGATTCTGAAGATTAACTGAGATGCTCTTTAAAAATAGATAAACACAGTCCCTGAATTCAAGAAATGTTCACTGTTGTAGATGATGATGGCTTTGATGATAATGATAATAATGATGAAGAAGAAGTTCCCTAGAACTTACCAGAGCCTCTCCTCTGGCCCTTTTCAGATTTCATTTTGTATTAGAGTATCACCCTAATGTGCCAGGGATCCTGGAGGGTCCCTGGGGGTACAACTCAAATCTCATTGGACTTCCCATCCCCTATAACCCTTATGGTTTTCTTCACCCATAGCAGGCTCTCTGGAAATGTCCCCTGAATGTACAAAGAGACAACTACTATAGACAAAAGAAAGTGTACCAAAAAGCAACAACCAATACCGATTAAGTTGTCCTACACACAAAAAAATAGGTTTTTAAAGATGTTCTGATAAACCCTTCATACTCGGCAGGAAACCATGGCCTCTTTTGAATAAAAAAGCAGCCTTCCATAAAGGTGGCTGACTGCTTGGGCATATCCCAGAAATGCTAAGCAAGACCTTTCAGTGCCTCTGAAAAGAACTCTCAGCCAATCTCTCTGGTCAACAGGAACACTGGGTTGTCAAGGGGGAAAAGCTCTTGGAATCAAACAGTTCCAAGTACACCCAGCTTTCAGGGTGACAGACATCACCTGAGCTAATGGTGCCACAGACAGCAACAGCGCAAGTTAGGAGGTTTCCAGTAACATTATTACCATTTACTCTGCACTTCATCCCCTAGCCATTATTCTGTTAATTTTCTTGTTACATTTGCCCAATTGGCTCCTCTAACTTGCACACACATGACTCTAGAGGCATTAATTATCCAATTAAAAAAAAACTAAATCAATACCAGCTGCCTTTAAAACACACCTTGAAAGTTAGAAAGTTTGCCTTTAGATTAAAACATTCCAACCAAAATTAAAGGAGACCCCAGGATTTTGTTTATGAAGTAAATTTAAAAATTTGAGCTTTCAAAGAAAATCGAGCCATTTTCTTTATCAGTGAAAATGGATGTCCTATTATCATTTCTTCTACTAGCATCTGAATTTTTGTTTTGTTTTGGTTTTTGATGAAGTCTCGCTCTGTTGCCCAGGCTGGAGTGCAGTGGCGTGATCTCAGCTCACTGCAACCTCTGCCTCCCAGGTTCAAGCAATTCTCGTGTCTCAGCCTCCTGAGTAGCTGGGACTACAGGCATGTGCCACCACGCCCAGCTAATTTTTGTGTTTTCAGTAGAGATGGGGTTTCGCCATGTTGGCCAGGATGGTCTCGATTTCTTGACCTCATGATCCTCCCACCTCAGCCTCCCAAAGTGCTGGGATTATAGGCATGAGCCACTGCACCTGGCCAACATCTGAAGGTTTTAAAGGATCAAAAGTATATACATAATGCCTTATGATAAATTCTTAAAACCCAGGAAAACAAATCTTATTTATGGGGTGAAAAAATATTTTTCATCTTTGTATAGTATTATAAATTTATCTACTGCTTTCCTTGTATTATGGAATTGTACTAAATCATGTGACTAAATGAATGAAATTCATCAACTACTATCAATGAAATAAAAGCTTGAACTTATTTAATTAGGAGAATAGAGGGTATGAATCAGTATGTGTGGCTGAATATCCTTCTGTTCTCTGAGAACCCCAGCACTGAATAAGCTCTCTACTGCCTAATTTCTACCACCGCCAGCATGCAAATTGCTCCATCCTACTTGTATCTGTAGCCAGAATATTTGTGGCATTTATATCTAGACTTCAAAACAATCCATTGTTCATAAATCTAGGACACAGCCACAGATTTCTCACAACATCCCATGTGAACATTCATCTCCAAATTGTGTTTTTATAACACATGAAATGTAAAATGTTATGAAAAATAGGAGTAACTGATAAATAGAAGTGTCTCCCTATTAAAGCCATTGAGTAAACTCATTGTACGTACACTGATTCCTTTACTTCTAGGATTTATAGAAGATTTGAGTTACAGAAGAAATGAAAAAAGCCTGATTATAGTAGTCATGTGTTAGTAAATCCCAACTCACAACCACCCTAATTTGTCAATTTCCCTAAGATTTATAAAAATCCAGTTTACTTTCCAGCAGAAAAGTAACTATTAAGAAGCAATTAAAATGATACTTTAATGCTCACTGGGCATTAAAGTTATGGGCACTTCCAAGAGTTTGCAAAAGAACAGATACCTCCAATCATCACTAATAAACAAAATTTTCTCTGTAAAAATCAAAGTGATTTCTTTCAAAATACAAAAATGTCCCCTGTGTGTCTATGAAGTTTCTGGAGCAGTTCCCAGACAGGCACGAGACACCATGGCAGGTCAACAGGAATAACATTCAAGCTGCTGGGAGGCTGCCCATGTAAAAGTCACATTATCGTTCCACAACAAAGAGGAGCTTAAATATTTTCTCTGCTCCAGAAAGTTTTGATGGCAATTCTCCAACTCTCCAGGGCTTCATTAGCATCAGCAAGGAGTCCCAGACACTCTGCCCCCAAACTACAGGGGAGCCTCTTGGCTGAGAGCTGAGCTCCAAGAGCTGGCTGCTAGAACCGGGTGCTGTGCTCACTAGCAGTGTGGCATTGGGCAAGTTCCCTCATCTCTCTTGGAATGCAGTTTTGCATCTGTGAAATGTGGACAATAATGACATCTTCCTCACTGGGATGCTGGGTGGAATTAAATGAGACCATCATTTCTTAAGCTCTCAGCCACAAATCCGGCACAGTGGCATTGGGGGTAGGAGAGGCAAAATTAATCCCAATATATCCAGCAGCTCTATGGGTGCTTGCCCATTTCTTCTAGGAGAGAGACACAGGGTGGTCTTACTAGTGGCCAAGAACGAATCAGCTAAAACTCAAAAAGAGGTTAGCAGAGCTATCTGGGTACCTTCCTTTGGCAGAATCAAGGCTTATCCTAAACAGAGAGGGGACAGACAATTCTTGTTACTGGCTTCTAGTCTTCCTTTACTGGGACTCAGCATAGCCCAGACAAGCAAGTCCTTTCTCATTCCACAATATTGGGCAATGACTACTTTTCACATGACCAAGCAGCTCCTATCATGATGTGGAATTGGATTTTAATTTGATGGGCTGCTTACCTCTTTCTCTCAGGCTACCCACTGTCTTCAGGGTTAGAAACGCAATGATGAAAGCCCACTTGTTTCATCTTTGAGAGAGTGGTCAAATAAGGCATGAAATCATGGTACTTACAAACATGAGGCGAGTAGGTATGTTATCTGATTGCACCAAAGGATTTTTATACAGCCAGATCTCTTCTGGCTGGATGACTCTCTGGAACGGATCCAAAAACTCTGTAAAACTGAAACATAAAAAGAAAAGTACATGAAGGCTGAGCATTCTGTTGCTGTAGGAAGTACCCTAGGAGGCGCCGCCTCCCCAACCCCCGACCCCCGCCACTCCCGCCACCTCCTATGCATACTCATGGGGAGGATCCAGCCTGCTGGGGAGAGGGAAATAGACATACCCTGCAGTCAGTTCTCAGCCAGTTCAAAGGCTTGGGAAGGACTGAAAGAATCACTGAGACTCTTCAGACTCTTTCATCACCACCTGCCAGCAAGTACCAATTCCACCCACAAGGGAGTAGCTTTGTATGTACAAAGACTCTAAGGACTTGGGGTTCCAAAGTAAACAGGAAACTGAAGTCACAATGGTGGCTCAGACTGGGGTGAGGCCAGCGCAGCAGCATGGTCTTTTGAGAATAAAACAGGCTTGAGGTAGAACCTAAGTGAGGGAGTAACTGGCTCAGCTGCCCATATGCTGTCTTCACTGGTTGGGCAATGAAAAGCAGTCACTGCCAAGAGAAAAACGCAACGGAAGAAAGGGGCAGAGACACAGGGGTTTGCTTTTTTAGATCTCGGCCATTAGGGCACCTCCCACCTCTCCAGCCAACCTTTACCTGAGGAACTAAGTTCAGCACCACTTCAGATCACTTGGAGAGGGCAGAAGACGCCAGATCATTTGGGGCTTTAAGTGCCAGTCTAGAGGATTTTGATTTTGAGCCAAGGAAAGGTTTGGTGAAGAAGCATGGAATGGGAATTCCAATTCAAAATGGCGGCCCTGGCCACGGTGAGGTGGGACTCAGAGGAGAGAACAGAAGGCAAGGTGGGAGGTGCTGGGGTTGTGGCAGCTGTCCCTGCGGGAGAGGCTAGTAGACTGGAAAGGAAGATGACAGCATGGAGAACCTGTGGGCAGGAGTGGCTGAAGCTGATTCCTAGGCTTCTGGTTTGGTCTTCTGGGAAAAGGAGTCCCATGATCCAAGATGAGGGGGGCAGGGGAGCTGGAGAGAAGCTCTGCTTTCTCCTCCTCTAGGAAACCCTCTAGGGTGGCTGGCGGTCTAGGTGTGTCCATAACTTTTCCGGTTTTAGCACTGAAAGGCCTATATCCCAGGAAACTTCTCAGTCTTGAGCAAACCAGAACAACTGGGTCACCCTATAGCTGTCCCAGTCTCCAGACAGAACCAGGAGTCCCATAGCCCCGGTTTCTATCCCAAATTTGGGACGTTGTACAAGCATGATCTGTTCACAGCTTCAGCTCCCCTGTGAGGGTGTGAGGGCAGGAGCCACTCCATGACTGTCACCTCAAAGCCCAGTAGCATGGCTGGGCCACCATAGATGCTCAGAGACCACAAAAGTTAATATCCTTTTGGGAATTTGAACAGGTAACACCGAAAGTACTCTCACTTTGATCAGCCTGACTCTCAATTCTATTATGTATCTAAGATACCTAAAATCCACCCATCTTTCATGTCTCTCTCCCTGTCTCTCCTTCCCTCCTTCCCTTCCCCCTTGTCTCCCTGCCTCCTCTGTGAGGTTTTACACCCTAGAAGTCTGTGTATTTATGTAATCTGGAGCCTCGGTAGAAACAGTGGTGTCCATGACTGTTCTCAGCAGTGGGCACCCAGTGCCTCTGCCTGGCACACAGACATCACTTGGTAGCTATTTGCCAGATGACTGAACAGACCCCTGCTGTGGCATCATGACAGAATCCAGCCAACCCTTCACCATCCCTGAACCTGGAGCACTTCTACTGCAGAATCCCTATTGCATTCCTTCACTGGGGTGCAAGTTACTTCTGCTATCAGCCCTCCAAACCTTCTCTAGAGCAGCATGGAGGAGCACCCTGTATGGGCATCAGGAAACTGCTCTCCACCCCAGCTCTCCAACTGAGCTGCTCCATGCTGTGGAGCAAGCTGCTTCCCCTCCCAGGGCCTCTGCAATGGGGAAGGCCAAACTAAATCAGAGACTTCAACTTCAGATGGGTCAGAAGCTTCTGGAAAACACCCAACCACAGACCTGAGACTCCACATGAACAGGGTATGGTAATGTGGATTTTAAACACTCTTGTAGGTGGCCCTGATGGGCCAGGAGTCCCTAGCATTGAAGTAAACAATACCTAACGGTCCCAAACCCTTGGATCCAAGGACAGGACATTCTGTAATTTAACTTTTCTCACTAACATCTCTTCCACCCACGGCAGGACAGGCTCTCGAGTCAGGCCAGCAGCATTCAAAAGCCCAGATCTAGCTACGTGACACATGGTGAGTCACCTAACATTTCTATGCCCCAGTTACCTCGTCTCTAAATAGATACATCTTACAGAATTAGAATGAAAGTTAAGTGATGGAATACATATGTAGTGCCTGACAGAAGAGAAACAAAAACTAGAATCGTATTACTATTATCATTTTACTCTAGCCTATACCTACATATTTTTACTAGACAGTTTTCAAGCTTTGTTTGATTTTGTGACAACCTACTTCCTGCCCCAAGTGCTTTTAAGACATGAAATAAATTGAAATAAAATAAATTGTGTTTGAAGGATGCTTTTAAAATATGTAGCATACCTATGATAACTAAAACTTCAGAATACTCCAGTTTCTGTAGCTATATAACAAAATACTCCTAAGCATTTTATTTTGTTCGTGAATTCATGGGTCAGGAAATTGAGAGGGGCTCATTATCTAGGCAGTCCCCACTTAGAATCTCTCATGTGGGCACAGTCAATGGCTGCCCACTGACCAGGCTGTCAGCTGGAATCTCGGCAGGAGCTGGAACCCCTGTTGCTGTTTTTCTTATAACAGGACACAGTCTCTCCCCCCTTACCTCAACTTCCTATTCTGGGGGAGGGGGAATCAGTGATACTGGACATGGCCAGGCTGTGTTGTGGATTTGAGCTGTATTTGGCTATAAAACAACGTTGCTGGGAAAAGTGTGGGGGAGAGGACCTCTTCCCACACACACCTTGAAACAGATCCCAATTAGTCAATGATCTTGTTTGTAAGAAACAGATTCTGTTGGTTGAGTGCATAAAGAGAAAGGTGGGATGGCCTTCAGATGATCCAGTTTAGCTAGCATTGCTAACCAACTGTTGCAGGCTCTGAAAATAGAAGATCTTGAACCCTCACCCCACCCCCCGCAAAAAGAAAAACGCTTCTTCTCTAGCACTGCAGTCTGGGAGTGGTCAGAATTATTCATAGCTACTGGCTTCCCCCACAGCAGGTATCCCAGAGAACAAGGCAGAAGCTCCGTAACTTTTACCAGCCTAGTCCCAGAAGTCGTGTAGTGTCATCTCCAGTTAGAAGTCAGTTCTAAGGTCAGTCTAGATTCACGGGAGGGAAAATGACTCCACCCATTGACTGGGGTATGGCAAGTTCTTACTAGAAAAGCAGGTGGATGAGGGATATGGCTGCAGCCACCTCTGAAATACACTCTGCCACCCACAGGGATGGACACTATGATGGCCACACAGCCCCCACTCTGTGAGACCCCAGAATCTTGACTCCTATGTTTTCTCGCACAGACGGCCACAGGGCAGGGGGACCAGGCACACCACAGAGCACCTTTCTTTCTCATCTTGTTTGTCTTACAGGTTTTAATATCCTCGTAGCAATTTTTCTAAAGCCTGGTGGAACCAGCCTTTTGCACAGTCCCTCACCGCACCCTGAGTAGCTGCAGCCAGAACACATCTATCAAGCAAATTATATCCTCTGGGAGCAGCAGTACTAAGAAAGATCGATGTCCCTTCAGTCATGCTCCAGCCACTGATGTTTGCCTCAAAGAATGCAGGCAGTGGAGCTAATACACAGAGGACCAGGGTCTTAATAAAGCTTAAGAATCTTAACAGGGACAGAGGTGGGCACACAGGGGAATGCAAAGTCCTGGAGGCATTAAAGGTGTTCACTCTCAAGAGAGAACATGCCTGGGCCTGGAAACATCCTTCTACAAGCTCTTAGGAAGTGGGTTGGAATCTAAGAAACAGGAACCCTGCTTCTAGGGAAGGGGTGAAGGGATGGTCTCCAGCAATGCATTGGGTCAGCGGTTTCCAACTTTAATGTGTCCAGGGATCACTTGAAAGTCTTGTGACTGCAGATTCAGAGAGAGCAGGCTCAGAAGAGACAAGAGAGCTAGCATTTCCAGCAAGCTTCCCAGGGGTGCCTCCCTGCCAATCTGTAGATCAAACCTTGAGTCACAAGAGGCCAGGACAGCAGCATCATGTGGGATCCGGTTAAAAATGCAGAATCTCCAGCCCCACCCCAGCCCTAGTGGATCAGAGTCTGCATTTAACATGATCCCCAGAAAATCTTCTCCAGGACTGTGGTGGGAGGTGGGTCAAGTCCATATACTACATTGGTGCAAAAGTAATTGGGGTTTTTGCCATGCTTTAAAAAAAAAAAGTGGTAAAAACCACAATTACTTTTGCACCAACCCAATACAATCTAATCTAAATCCATCTCACAAAGCCGTAAAAATCATCTCAAGCACCACGTGTGTCATCAGGGGAGAAAAATACAGAAAACAAAAATGAAAACCCCAAGGCACAGCAACCTGAAGCCATTCAGTGTGGAGGAAAATCACCCTGCCAGCCTTAGCCACGGCATATTCCTGGCCAGTGCAATGACTGACGTCCTGGAGTTTTTCGAGAAAAGACTAAAGGAGTTGCAGCAACTCTTTGACCACCAGAAGGTGGGTAAAACCATTTAGTTTACTTTCATTTCCAATAAATACAGAACGGCTAAAAATACTTTAACATCCAGAAGGCTCTGACAGGCAATGATGCAGAGCTCCTTTGCGGATGGGGGTCAGGCCTATTGTTCTCACTGTGAAGGCCTTTCCCCATCTCTGCAAAGCCTTCATTAAGAATAGAAGAGCTTTTGGGAGGCCAAGGCAGGTGGATCACATGAAGCAAGGAGTTCAAGACCAGCCTGGCCAACACGGAGAAACCCCGTCTCTACTAAAAACACAAAAATTAGCTGAGTGTGGTGGTGTGTGCCTGTAATTCCAGCTACTTAAAAGGCTGAGA